TGGTTTAAATTCCCATTAAAACAAGTGATTGTATTGTCTAGAAAGAAAAGAAAAACTTCCTCCTGGCATTTATTTTTATGAAAATAAGACAATTTGGTATATTTCAGAATCAGTTAATGGAGAGTGACTTCCCACAGTTACAGAGCAGGAGACCATGTGGCCAAAAAGAGCTTAAATTACAAAACGCATAGCATGGGATAGGAAAGCACCTTATTTTTTATCTTTTTAATTTTTATTGAACTTATTGGGGTGCCATTGGTTAATAAAATTATTATTTTATTAATAATTCCAAAATTTCTATTACCCTATTGGTTTCAAGTGTACAATTCTATAAACATCATCTGTATATTACATGGTGCATTCACCACCCAGACAAGTCCCCGTCCATCACCATTTATCCTCCCTGCACCTTCTTCTACCTTCCCTACCCGCTTGCCCTCGGGCAGTCACCATAGTGTTGTCTGTGTCTATTTTGGTTGTTGTTTATTTGCACTGTAGAAGCCACTAAGGATTCTCATCTGAAGAGAGATTATCTCTTCCCCTACCCGCTATCCCCGCCATCCATCCTCCGCCTATGATAGCATGAGGGAGATTAAAACTGAGTAAGTTCACAAATGTTGGAGCGGTTAAAGGTCATCCCCCATTTTAGCACATGGAGAAGGAACACGGGCCAAGTTTTCATTCAGGCTGTGCCAGTTAACAGCTGTGACGTTGGGTGAGTTATGAAACCTCTTTTCACATCTGAAAATACGAACAGTAATAAGTGGCACACACTAGATTGTGGATGAAAGGCCATTGTAAGCACTGATTTAATGGCAGCTTTCCTTCCTTTTACCGTATGCTAGGTTGTTCCAAACCACACAACGTTTGTGTGTCTAATTCTTCATTGCTGTTCCGTTTTCCCCACAGATAGAAGCTATGGTCCAGAATACTACCCCAAGCCCACTATTTTTCAACCTTCATCTGCTGAAATAAGCCTTCATAAGGCTGGAACACATATTTGTCTTCTTGAGAAATTTTTCCCTGATGTTATCAAGGTGTACTGGAAGGAAAAAAATGGCAATGCAATTCTGGAATCTCAGCAGGGAGATGCCATGAAGACTGATGACACATACATGAAATTCAGCTGGCTGACCGTGAGTGAAGAGTCGATGAATAAAGAACACAAATGTATCGTCAAACATGAGCATAATAAAGTGGATCAAGAGATTCTTTTTCCTGCAATAAAGAAAGGTATGTGTGTGTGTGCGTGTGCGCGCGCGCATGTGTGTAATCTTCCCAGAACACTTTTTTGCCCCCAAAGGGAATGCCCCATGTGTCTGTCATGTACTAATACTAATTATAATTATGCTAGAGGCCTGATGCATGAAAAGATTCGTGCAATAGGCCTTCCCTAGTTAAACAAAGACATATTTTTAATATTTATTTTATATATTTAAATGCCATTTAACAAAGAAAAATCAACCAAAAAAATGAGTTCGCGTGTCACCTCTGACACGTGTGTCATAGGTTCGCCATCACTGCCCTAGGCTCAGAACTTAAGTCCTGAGTATTAACACAACAGACCAAGGTCCCGTAAGAAGGAACCGCTTGGATCTTTACCCTGTGGCTAACAAGCCCTTTCTAAGCAGTGGGAAATGAGGACGTCAGACGTGCTAAGACCTTTGCTGTGTACCAGTCTTTATCTTACACCTGAGTTTCCCCAGAGACCAAGTCAGGTTCGAACACTTGCCGTGGCTTCCTTCTGAGGCTGTGATGAAGGACAAGTGAAATAATGTCTGGGAAATGCTTTCTCTCAAAAATATAACACGAATGTATTTATTCATGTATGTGTATTTATATCCCTTCCTAGAACTAGGGGGAGATTGCTGAAACAGCCCTAATTTTCCTATTTCTGTGGCTAAGAAACAGAAAGAAAGCAAACAGGCAAAGCACAGGTTTAATACAACACTGGGCTTAAATGTCCCATTAGGCTTTGATTTTTCCAGTGACCAGGGTTGACTATCGTAAAGGAGAGAAGGTTTTGGTTACGAGGTGTTTACTTGGCGTCTAATTTCTGAAACAAATGTCTCCCTTGGGCGTCTCATGGCAACAAAGCTAAGGAGGGTGTTTCTGTTCATGTCGTTCTATGGCAAATGTCTAATGCTGTTTCTCAGAAGTTTTTTGTTTGTCGTTTTCTGTTCTGAAAATGTAACATGGAAGCACAAATCAATGAAGTGATTTTGAAGAGAGAGAACGTTTTCTCTCTAGTCCAAGTTTTCTGCCAGATTAGGAAAGAGAATTAGGATACACACACGGATTTTATGATGAAAAATTGTTACTTTATTGTTTTTACCTCAATCAGTGCATGGCGCTAAGAGATTTTTATTTATCTCTTAATGAATAAAGTCATTGCAAGGAAAATAAAGAGACTTTTAAGACACAGTAAAGTGAGTCCTTGGGGGACATTTTAACATCTACATGTGATTATACTAAGATTTTCAATCCTGCGATTTGCCCCAAAGTCTATACCTCAGACCCAATTTTTTTTAGAGCACAGCAAAAAAAAAAAAGACCTCGTTGAGTGCATAAAATTGCACACCAGAACCACATCCGTTTGGACAAGAACATGTCTAGTAGAAAAAGGATAAGCCAAAGCAACCATTGCAACTATTTTCCTCCACCCAATGGTCAATGCTCTTTTAAAGAAATTTTGTCTTTGTATATATATATATGCCTTTAAAAAAAATTGTAGATAAACACAACTCTCACCTCAGGTTTTATATATTCAAATAACTGTAAGTGTGACTTGGTTTATCTGAAAAGAATTGCCCTGAAATGCCAAGCTCCTGAGGTAAAAAGGTCATTTGCTCAGCATAACTACAACATCTGGAAGAGACGTTTTAGTGTCTACAATGGTGGGAGTATGTTGTTTCTCTATACATTATTTCCTATTTCTATGGATTATTTTTACAGAGTACTTTCCACATGTTCTCTCCCATTCAATCTCCCACAGCAGTCCTCCGAGTGCTGGCTCTGCCAGTCACTGGTGTGCCTCTCAACAAGTCACTAATACTCCCTAAACCCCACTCCTCGTCTGTGACATGGGGCCCTCCAAAATACAACTCACTCCAGTGTGATAATGCATGTGAAGCATTTGACATGCACTGCGCCACACAGCCTCGCACAGCAATAATCACTCTGTAGACTTTAGCTTTTATTAATACTATTGTCATGTCCACAAACACAACTGCAGAAAATTATGTGGGTGAGCTGGGGATACTGGGGAAATGCATGATTTGGAAAGGCATGGCTTCAATGGGAAATTGGTCTAAACCAGACTCCTTCAAACATGGAAGATTCTGTTGTGGGTTTTACAATTAAGCAAATTTCTTTGGGTAGCAACTGTTCATGTCAGCAGTGTGTGCTGAAGACTTCGGAGCAGCTCCTTTTTCTGTTCATTTTTTTCCCATTCAACAAGTATTTATTGAACAGTTACTTTGTGGCAGGCACTGTGCTAGGAGCAATGAGTGCAGGAGGAAAATAGGTAGTCTTGGGTAGTAGCCTCCAGATAGGGTTAAAATGTACCCTTCATGACCTTCAACATCTTCGCGTGGAGAAACACAGTATATGTATTAGGTCTATTGAATTACACAGAGTCTGGGCAACTATTCCTGGAATTGTGGGCCTCATATTTTTAATGGTTCTCTCTTCTCTGTTGGTAGATTCTTTCTATCTATCTATCTATCTATCTATCTATCTATCTATCTATCTATCTATTATCTATATATCTGTCTATCCAGACACACAGTCAAATAATGGTTATGAACAATTCATTAATGGTGCTCTCATTTCTTGTAGAGGCTGCTACAGATCATACAAGAGAAGTTTATCTGGAAGACAAAAGTGGTAAGTTCTTGCATGTTTGCCTTCATGTCATGCTTTAGCATTTTTTCTCTTCTGACCAACTTAAATTTTGAACTTCTCTGACTTAAGGTAGAAAAATCAGAATGGCTGGATTTTGCAGAATAGACTGAATGATAGCTATTTTAAGCAAACCATCATTTCCTATTAGCTATCTTAACACAGTAAATGCTATATTTTGGTATTAGATGACTGTGGGGTGTGGTGATATGCTCAGAATTATTTCAACACTGGATTTTATTCATCTGCATGACTTTTGTTTCTATTGATTAGGGAACACATACTATCAATATGCTTCTAGATTTTTATCTTTGGTCCTTGCTAGTAGTTAATAACATGAACTGACATTTACTGAGCAGTTCTTATACAGAAGGCGTAGTGTTGTGTTTTGAATGCATTTCCTTGTTCAATTATCATAATACTCCTGTGAAGTGGTAACTATATTTTCCACCATTTTACAGATGAGAGAGCGAGCTAAAATTAAGTCCCATACACTGTGCCACACAGCTAGATCTGGGCTGTCAGGCCAGGACACCTGAGTCAAGAGTTCATAAACTTCCTCAGTTCTCTATTCTTCCTTTATGAGTCGAGTCATTGAACAAGAAAGCCAAAAGCCAAGACCCCAGGTCACCGTGGTCGGCAAACCAGGGCTCGTGAGCCACATGCAGCTCTTGGACCCTTGAGTGTGGCTCTTCCACAAAATACCACGTTGGCTCGTGAGCCGCGGTTTGCCGACCACTGCCCCAGGACAATGGATGCATGGCTGGGGCGGGGCTGGGGGCAGTGCATGGGCTTCTGAGTACCACAGACTGGCTTCAACCCCAACTCTTTTAATAATTAGCTGCATGGATATGGGTACTAACACTTTACTCATCTGCCAACCAGGAATACTTACACCTCACTCAGTTCTTAAAGAGATAAGGTCACAAATATAGAATGTCTAGCATAAGGTATCTCAGTTAGCTGGCATAGAATATGCACTAGTTTCTGGCCCTTTCTCCCTGCAAATGCACAAAGAAAGCAACTAGAAGCACTAGCTCTAGTCCTGCTGATCTCTCCTCCATTTCCAATATCAAGGGGGCTCTGGACCTCAACTACTACCTTCTCTGACCAAGGGCAGGAGTTCTGAGCACATCACCTCTTGAGGCCCCTTTCCACACCAAGTGCTAATAATTCTGGAGTGCTGATGCTGTGAAGATAAAGCATGTCAAAGGGAAATTTCCATAGGAAAGGACGTGGCCTTGTGGTTCATTGGGTAGCAGTCTGGCTCTCCATCACTGGTCGTCAATCATATCTTGACATCATATATTTTTTGCAAAACTTCAAAGGATATTAAGTGCAATTACCTATAGTATCATAGCCCCAATGAGAGACAGTCAGGAAAGACAGGTGAACCATCACCTCTTAAAGTTGCAGAGAATTTGGATTAACCACTTTCTTCCAGTTTAACATAATGCCCTCTTCTAAAACCTTGCACCCACCCCGTTGTGAACACCACCAAATTTTCATGGATTGTACCCTTGGTAAGAATCATATTGCATGCACATATAATGCCTCAGATACTTCTAAATCAGCAACTCAACTTTATTCCATGCTTAACCCTTTGATATCTGGGGTATTATTTATTGTACTTGGAGATGCAGAATTATAGAATAACTAAGAATGTGATCTGTAAATTCATGTTGCTGGGCTTGAAATCCATCTTCTGGTATTTATTAAATGCACGACATCAGGCAAATTACTTCTCTCTCCCCAATTTTTGTAAAGCAGGCATTAAAATAATAACCTCATAGGTTGTTGTAAAAATATATAAGATTAATGCTTTGCATACAAAGCTCTCAGAGTGTATCGTTTGTTTAGTGGTTAATGAATATTGGCTATTATTAATTAGAGATATGGTGGGGTGAAGAGATGCTAAAAGCTACTTTCCACAAATATTTTCTTCTCAGTGGGCTCACTCATTAAAAATGCAACCTTAGTTTTTAATATTTTGGAGCACTCTAAGTGAATTTAGCAGAGGTTGTGGGTTGACTTGGCCTGCAAGCTGGATTCTACATTGTCTTGTTGGTGGTGGTAGAGGTGGTAGATGTTTGCTTATTTGGGGGGTTGGTGGTGTGAGGGTGTCACGTTAATGAAGATCATAAGTAAATAAGTGTGACCCCTCCCATTAATATTTCCTACCCTTTCAAAACAACAGGTGAAACTAATAAATTGACTTCTCCTAGATATACTTCAGCTGCAGCTCATCAATACCTCTGCCTACTACACCTACCTCCTCCTCCTCCTCAAGAGCCTGGTCTACTTTGCCGTCATTTCCTTCTGTCTGGTTCGGAGAACAGCAGCCTGCGACCATGGAAAGAGTTCTTAACAGATAATGGCACAAAAGAATCAGTGTTCTTTTCCTTTTTTTTTGCCTCTGAACCTGTCTGCTGAGGATCTAGCTGAACTTTCTTTCTGGGTTTGGATGAATTCAGTCACATGTGCATTTTTCTATTATGTCATTTTTGCATAATGGTTTTCAAACCACTGGCCAAAAGAAAATCCCACTGTGTGACAATAACAAATCCTGACATTACTCAGGGGCAGGGCCAAAGGGTACCCTTTAGCACCATCTTCCCATAATCCCCAGCAGCTCTCTAGCCAAGCCTAATAATCACGCCTTCTGAGTACAGACAGCACGCAGCCTCTAATCACACTCCTTAGTGCTTTTGCACCAGATAACTGCCCTGAACTTTCCATTTTACACACCCAGAAGATGCCATATTTGCTACTTGAATTCTGTATTTTGTTTTTCATAATAAGACAATAAATTTTTTTAAATCAAAAGTCTACTCTTGTCTATGTACTCTAATTTGATGAATCTAGTTGGAAGTCCAAGGTAAGATGACATGACAAATGAGGTGTCAAATGCGGTGTTGGCGTGAAGGTCCACACAACATTTCTAGTTCGTTCCCTGAGACGGTAGTTCTGATGTTTTCTGTGGGAACCAGTGCCAAATGAAGGTGCCCAGCTTCCTCCTCTTTCAAAGGTCATCTCCTCTTTCAAAGGTTTGGTTTGGGAAATTCCAATGGCGACACTGTATCACCTGCCATGACTTGCACTGTGCGCTCAGATCTATACTAGTGTTTCTCAAGCATCAAGTTTCCTGACCCTCACGATCACCCTATGAAAACTGTCCTGGCATTGGAGAGGCAGTGTGAGGGAGGGGGGAAGCACGTCGACTCTGAACCCTAAGTGCCTGGGTTTGAATCCTGGGTCTAGCATTGCTCTCTGTGTGACCTCAGACAAGCTCTTTGAACTTTATGTGCCAGAATTTTCTCATTTGTAGAATGAAGCTACGGTGCCTGGTCTCCTCAATTTGTGTGAATTAGTTGGGTTAATAATTTTTGGTACATGTAAGTCCTCAATAGCATTAGCAGCTATTAGTAGCTCTACTTTAGAAATAATAGATCTCTCTCTCTCTCTCTCTCTCTCACACACACACACACACACACACACACACACACCCTGGCAGTCATCGCTAATCTTATTTCCCTCCAGAGAGGTTAGATGTGGATGGAATAGTGCCTCAGTGAGTTTCTACTACAAAACCAGGCAATCCTATGAATCCTCTCAGAGCCCTTGGAGGTGGGTACAGTCCACATTTACAGACTGGAGAGATTGCTATCTGCTCCTGGTCACCATTTTGTAAGTAACGGTCATTTGAAGCCAGGTCTCTCTAAACTCAGAGCTGTATTTTGTGACCTAGTATCGTGTGGCCTCCCCTTCACCTACTTTCAACTGGGAAAAACAAAACAAACATGCACTGCTTCTTTACTACACGCATCCTCCAAGGAGCCAGGGAGAATTTTCTTAAGGACTTGCAGGTGCACCTACATTTTCTCCTGGGAGGAAAATTTCCTTCCTTATTAGGCTCAGAGCTAATGAACAGAACTACCTCTTTACCTGTCTATGCTTGCTCTCCTTACTCCTATGCTGTTCATATAATTAGAGGGTTATAGGCCAACCTGCCACACAATTTTTCTCATGTTGGGGAGATTTTCATATGCTGACCTCACACACACCAGTCAAACATCTGTGATTAGGGTTCATGGCACTTTGTTGGGTGAAATAAATACCAGAACAATAGATGGCATCCACAGGTGTGCAATGAGAAACTTAGGTAGAGATTTCTAAAATTCCACATAAAAGCACTCATGGCCCAATAGTCTTTATAGAGCTAGCGTACTCCATACACTTCTCATCCATAAAAGAAGGGAAACACCAAGGCAACAATTCTCAAAACTTTTCCAATTATGAAGTCTCTCCACTGTTTTAGATTCTTTTCTCCGTAAACTCATAGATTTTAGTGAAGGTTTTCTGTCAATCAAGCAAGCCACAATGATGTAATACTCGATTTTCCCTTTACATTAATCAAAGTCCTATATAATTGCCGATTAGAAATTCTGAATAATAAGAGATAGTCAGAAATACTATACCCACATAATACCATACAATACAAAAAGCTAGAAACTCAATGCATCATTAGCCATGAAAACTTATTGGGTAAATGCATGGTCTCTGGCGGGTTCTGTTAGGCTGTTTTTTGTTCGCTTTCTTCTGTTTTGTTTGAATAACAGCAAGTACCTACAACTTAATGAGCATCAGGAATTCTGCTCAGCAGTTTGCATGCTCCATCTAATGCTCTCCCTGTAGCACAGTGCGGGTATCACGCTGCGCTGATGGGAAAACTGTAGAGAGGCTGCCATGCCAGAGGTTAAACATGGAGCAGTGCCCGCGTCCACATGATTCCACGTCCATCTGACTGAAAATCTGCTGTTTGGCCATTATGTCAGCGGCTGTCCTCTTGAAGCCTTTAAAAATCACTGAGGCCAGCGTGGCTCAGTGGTTGAGCATCGACCTGTGTGAACCAGGCGGCCACGGTTGGATTCCCAGTCAGGGCACATGCCCGGGTTGTAGGCTCGATCCCCAGTAGGGTGTGCAGGAGGCAGCGGACCAATGATTCCCTCTCATCACTGATGTTTCTATCTCTCTCTCCCTCTCCCTTCCTCTCTGAAATCAATTAAGAATATTTTTAAAAGATCACTGAGACCTAGACTGCATCACAGGCCAGGCGCCGGACTTTAATAAAACCTTTAGTAATTCTAACGTGTAGCCAGTTTGAGGCCAGCAGGTGACTGAAATAGCTCCTGAGCTCCAGCGCTGCTGTCTCAGCTCTGAGGCAGCCGGGAGCCATCACAGCCCCTTCCACAGGACAATGTGCTGCAACCTGGACAGGTCCCTAAAATTGTTAGGCAATACCTCCATGTGGTTCAAACGTCACAGCACCTGTAAAATGTACTATCTTGCAGACCACATTTTTGTTTCTCATGCATCCTTCTTGTTTTTATTATGCAATCAATGCACATGTATAAATACATATGCATGTTTATATGCATTCTAATTTCCTCCTTTAACACAAAGGGAGTACACAATACACATTATTCTGCACGTTTCTTACTTATACATCCTAGAGCTCTTATGTCAGGACATAGGACCACCTAGCTGTGTATTTCCTTTATAAAATCAGTTCTCCGTGATAGACTGTTGGCTTATTCCCAATCCCGTTATTTAAAAATGCTGAAATAAATTAGTGTTTTATGTCATTTTGAATGTGTGCATTGGTCATTTCTACTGCAATGTAGGTAAATGCCGAGAGTGTGCTGTCTAATGCCAGGACTTGGCTAACATGACAACTGAAAAATAGTCTCATCGTGCCTTTAATTTGCTTTTCTCTTATGAGTGAGGGTAAGCATCTTTTCATATATTTAAAGTTTATTTATGTTTTCCTTCTGTGAAATATTGGCCCAGGTCCTTTGGCCACTTTTTCTTATTAATAACACTAACAAGTATGACACTCATTTATCCGTGTGTCTGTGTATGTCCATGGGCATCGGCATAAAACAAAATGTTCAATGTATGGTTGGTGGGTAAAAAAAAACACGGATTATATTTTTCTATTTTCTGCAATGAATCCTTTAAAAATAAAAACTTTTGCATATTAGAATTAAAACAATGTCTCATTTAAAAGTGAAAAGGTTTTGTTTGTTTATAATCAGCTTTAGGTCCTGAGAAACCAAGTAGAGGCTCCCATTGGAAAACCAAATAAGACCAAACAGATACAAGAAAGATGAAATTTAGAGTTCCTGCTTGATTCTCATTGATTTGATCAAACCTCATTAGGCCAAACACCCCCCTACTTGCAACCAGTGTGCCACAAGGATTTTTAGAGCAGTAAATACCTGACATTTTAGTCAGGGGCACTGACCTCTTTTCCCTTAAACTGTCAAATTAAAAAATGACAACAGCCAACACAACAATAGCCTGCTGGTGTAAATGCCCTGTCTTAAACCGTAAATACACAGGTCATTAAAGAGTTGCATCTTATCGATTATACCACATAATAAGGTTGCATGTGATTGGTTAATTGTTGGTACTAGAAATCCTTGTATACAAGTATATGCACCTGATTTTTTAAAAAGTTACTTTGAGCAAAAAGGGTAGGTAATTACTCCTATTATTGTTTTTATAAATCAATCAAAATTATAACTACTTTTTGTCAGATTAGCAAAAAACCTATTTTTTGTTGTGCTGCAGAGTATTACCAATTCTTTTATGTGTGCCACGAGATGAGAAAGATTGAAGATCGCTGACTTAACAGAGTTGAAACTATTTCTGCAAGGGGGAAAGGGAGAAGCAGAGGGAACTTAAAAATCACTGAGTGTTTTGTGTGGCTAATTTCACAGCTGGGGCACTGCTAGCCAGTATCTCCTGTGGCTTCAAACTTCGTGGCCACTTCCTTCCCCAGCTCAGCCTGGGCTGCCGACACCGGAGGCGAGGCGGAGAGGAGGAGAGCGGGGGTGGTGGTGGAGGAGCCAGCGCTGGGGGGGAGGGGGGTGCTGGTGCAGCTGATGGTGCTTCATGTTCTCAGGCCTCCTTTGTTTACGTGCTCCGGCAAATGTGGTTGATTCGTGGAAAATGCTCCAGCTCACACCGGCCCCCACTGGTTGGGTCTGTACCAGTGGTGGCTGGGGTGTTATAAGATAAAATAAGGGCAGTTAAACCACAACCACTTTGAAAAGGCCACAGCTAATGTGAAGAAAATATCCATCTACAGACACCAGCAGGCGGTCGTTATCAGACATGCACTTAGGCTGTGGGGAGGGGGTCCCCACTTTTTATATACAAGGCTTACTCCCATTACTCCTAGACCAGGAGGTTAATGAGGCTTACCCTATGCGAGTTGGAAATTTTATGCCCAGGACTATTCCGATGCTGCCCCTTCAGGCCATCACGACGCTGTTCTGGAGGAAAGAGCAAACAGCACTGGGATAATCCCTAACATTTCACCAAATATCTGGGCTTTTCCACGGTATTTGATTTACTGATCCTGTACCTTTCAGGTTTCATTTTCTCGGTGTAGACAGGGTGACACTGCATCTGTGAACCTCGTAGCAGGGACAGACCGTGGATGTGGGCAAGGGTGATGAGCTTTCTCCTTCATGAGTACACAGCGATAGCAAGGCCCTACTGTATCCCTGAATGTCCTATATGGAATCCCTGTAAGCCCCCCTAAAGAAAGAAAGATACTTCAGTCAACCTGCGCAAAGCTTCATGGAGGACATGCACCTCAGATAAAAGGGTGATTGGGGTCAAGTAGAAGAGGGCTGGTCAGCACTGTGAACATAGAGAGCCAATGTGCCCACCCCATCCATGCACGGTACAGAGGGGTGC